TTTCCAGATCCCCTTTTGTTGCCAGTTCAGTGGGTCCAGGTGGTTGAGTATCAGAGTGTTCCATCTCATTTCCCTTTGGGTTTACTGTAGGTGATCTGGAAGTCTGGTTTTGTGACTTATTTATGTGTCTTCTCATTTCAACCTGGGGGGCGGGGTGTGCTGTTGGCACCTGAGTGGCTTGCCTCCTCTGAGCTGGGAGCAGCGGGACAGGAGGAGGCCCAAAAACCCTTTCCTCTGGGCCAGCAGTCGCAGGATGGATGGTGGCCCAAAAGCCCTTTCCTCTAGGCTGGGAGTGCCAAGATGGATGGTGGCCGGGAAGCCCCTTCCTCTGGACCAGGAGCAGTGGGACGGCAGCTCAGAAGCCCCTTCCTCTGGGCCGGGAGTGGCAGGACAGAAGGCAGCACAAAACCCTTTCCTCTGGGATGGAAGTCGAAATATTTGATTACATAGACATGTTAAAGTTGAGTCAGCAAAAAACTATATTAATACTTAAAATGTATAAACATGATTGAAATGCAAACAAGAAAATAAATCTATACATATATATGCAACATGCAATACAGACAAACTATTTTACTGCTCAAAAAATTCTAAATTAAAAGAACACCTCTATATAATAAATAAAAACTTGTAAATATAAAACTTATAATATTAAAAATATACATGGGTAATAAACATGTTAAGATATGTTATCCCTCCATGATGTTAAAAGCAATAATACTAATGGCTAATTCTTATATGTCAGCTTATGAAAATTAAAGGTATGAACAATGTTATGTGGTGGGAAAGGTATGGATCACGAGGACTCTAGTGGAAAATATTGTTGGTAGGATTTTAAACTAGCCAACTTTCTGCTGATGTGCATATACATATTGAATCAAAAATTCTCCTTCTAAAAATTTATCCCAAAGAAATATCTAGGTAGGTTAAACTTTTTGAACATATAAGGAATAACACCATATTGTTGGTACATCAATGAAAAACTGGATTCAATCTATATTTCCAGTAAGAAAGATTTGTATAAATAAGTTGTAGTTTACTAGTTTACTTTGTGTGACACAATTATTAGGATGAAAGGAGTATCATGACAAATGTCTGCAACTTTTAAAAGCAGATTTTAAAAATAGAACATGAAGTAGGACTCAATTTTAATATAAATGTGACATACAGATATGGATATGAAAGTCAGCGCACAAGTAAGAACAGAATTATTTCTTCTAGAGTGAATTATTTATTACATTTGATTTCTTCTTTATTTCCACTATTTCTACTTGAATACCTTTATGTTATGAGCATATATTTGCAACCTGATTGAAAATTATTTTCACACTGGAAAAAGGACAAGAAGGAAGTAACTACTGAAATTCTGCCCCATTCTTTGAAAGTCTGGTCAAAATAAATAGACTTAAATGAGAAAAATATGTTCTTCCAATAATATACAATGCTGTGAGGATATAGTAAAATGTGCAATATCATTGTGTTATGGGTAAGGTGGGCAAATGGATACTTTTTCCCTAATGAGCAGCTGAGCAATACATAGACAACAGCTTCAGTGAAAGTTCATGTACTTTTACTCACTTCCAAAAATCTAAGCAAAGAAACAAAGACAGAGACAAAGTTTTATGGATGAGAATGTTCATGCATTGTTCTTTCTCAATAACAATTTTTAAATTGAAAAATTAATGTCCTCAGTAATGGAAAGTATGTGTACAGGTGTCCAATAATGCATTCAACAAATATTTTCCAAGTGTTTCCTCTGTTCTAGGCTTTTTAGCAGACGCTGAGATTCAGTGGTGCCTAAAAGTAATATGTCTGCCTCCTGGAGCCCATTGTCCATCTTACCAGGGAAGAAAAACAATCAGCTCTTTCCACAAAGAAGCTAGGTGCTATCCAAGAAAAGTACAGGATGCTGATATGCATATAAAATATTACTTTATAATCAAAGACTACAATAAAAAGAGAAATGTAAAATATGTTGTAAATGTGTATTTATAATCTTTATAAATGATGTATTAACCAAGTCGGGGATTGTCTCTGAGGGCCAGAAGTGACCATTCATGGACAGTTAACCAGTCAGCAGAGAGTTCTGAGGCATGAAGACCTAAGCAAGAATGTTTAGAACTACTTCCATTAGAGTATTAAAGAAAGAGAAAGATGAAACCTCTCAGGTTATCATTTAAATAATATCCAAATACAATCCAACTTGGAAGAGGAAATTTGAAAGACACACTTCCCTAATAAGGTCTAAAAATAAGGATATGTAAGCCAGAAGGAGGTGTAAACCTTTCTCTTTCTACTTGACTTAACTTTGACAAAGTTTTAACCTCTTTATGGTTCCCTTTTGGAACTGTAATAAAAGACTCATCGTTCACCAGTAAAGCAGTTCTTGAAGGAGTTGGTCCTTTTTTATATTGATTGCTAGAATCAATACTGCTTTGAGGGTATAAATCCTCCACTTTTTCATTATTTGAGAATTTTGATTCCATCCTGGTTTGTAAATGGACTTCCTTCCATGATGTGACATCTCCATGACATGCCAAAGGATTATAAATTAAGAGTGTGATCAGAGTCCTGTCAAGCCCATGCCTACCCCTTGTTTATGTTGGTTGACCATTCTGGTTGGCTGCAACCATAGCAACCTCTTAGCTCAGACCAAAGTTCAGCCACTATAAAGCTTTATGACCATGTTCATAGTTCAGCAGCAACACCTTTTCTGGGAAGAGTGAGGTTTTATATTTTACAACAAAGTATTAGATTCCATTTCTAAATACTGGACTCCAAATGCTAAGTTCTAAAATATTACAAGAAGATCATCGTTTACACCCAAGGAACTTGTTTTCCTGAGAAAATGCCAACAACACAGAAAACATTGATGTTCTCGTCCAGCTTTGTCACAAGCCTTGGGTCTGTCATCGTAATTTGTTCGATTCTTGCCACACAAGAATGGATCACCAGTACAATTACCATCACAGGCTCTTTTTCCAATGGTAGTGTTATCATCACTTACGGTCTTTTTCGTGGTAAGAGTACTCAAGAATTGACTCAAGGACTTCCAGAACTAGACAAAGATTTTGAAGGTAAATAATAAGGTAATTTGAATGGGTGTAGTGAAACTGAATTAAGATTCATGTCATTTTATATTTGGACCAAATAATGGTTCAAAAATAATTTCCTTGTAAGCTTGGAGTTAGACTGAAGATGCCAGCTTAACTCATAATTTTGAAATTCCACCATATTATTATTTCAGCTTGCTCAGTTCTGGTTAGTGTCTATTATCATAACAGTCTAAATAATTCTAACATTATTTAGAATTGGGTGTCTGAATGGTACCTACCAAGCTTACTGATAAGTAAATAATTGAGTAAAAATATGTATTAGACATATGGTGCTCCATAACTAGTAGGAACAGTATTTTTAACTATATTGGATGTAGATGTTTAGTTGGAGTAACAATCTCTGTCCAGAATTTCATAAGTAAGCATAGGGGGAAAAAATAAAATGAAGAACATAGTCAACCATTTGTTTCTATTTCTCAACTTAATTTCTTAATTGATTTGAATTTGCATTTTTCTCTCAAGAATATCTCATTGTTGGAAATGCTATTTAAATTCTATTAATTCTATTGTGTATTTCATAGGAATTCCTATTTTCCCTGAATTCTTGTATAATAGCTCCTTCATCTTAACAGGTAGAAAGTAAAAGTTTATTGAGAATAAGTTGATTTAGCTACCTGAATTTGAAGTTTAATAGCCATCATTATGTTTTTTAATTTAAAAATCACATTTGTAACTTATATAACACGTAAGTGGACTTTGTGTTGAAGATTGATATATGCATGTATGACCCAGGTATTAGCAAGTGTATAATCACTACCTTTAACTTATAAATAAGCATCATTTTCCACCTTACACAACTGTAGTGTTTAGTCTTTGTATAATGCTATAGGGTCTAGCTGTAGTTTGTTTATGACTTTGTTAAGGAAGAAAATTTCCTTATATTCAAAGCAACATGGCTATGATTCCAAGTTATAAATTTGTCTTTTGGAGGTTAGTAAAAGTAAAATCTCCTGAAATTTCAACAATACACAGCTCCTCCGTGTTAGCCACAGCCTCCCAGAAGGATCAGGAACACTTGCTCTACAGCAATTGAAAGCTAAGATTTCAAAGGCTCAGTTATACTTTCAGTTATGTGAATAACATTTTCAAAACTAAAAAAAGTACTGGTTTCTGAATCTCTAGACACATTTTTATAAATTTAAATATGAGATAAAATCTAAAAAATTTTGGTTTCCAAACAATTCCCATTAAAGATCAATGGCTTCTATATGACTGTCTGTAGGGGAAGCCCAAAGAAGTCCCCAGGTGGGTCAGGCCTGCCTCCAAAGCCCTGTGTAAGTGGTGGTGAGCATGTTGGTGTGCAGAGAGCAAGAACAGAAGTAGTCAGGAGAGCCCTAAGGGGGCTAATGTCAAGTGGGCACTACAGTCCAGTGTAGGAGTAAAAGGAGGAGAAAAGTTTGCTTTCTTTTTGCCTGGCTCTACTTTTTCTCTGTTACTGGGGAGCCACATTCCAACCTACTTTACATTACTACCAACCTCTGGATCTGTAGAAGTTGAAACACCACCAAGTCAATGAAAGTGTTGAACAATTGCTTGGGTTGATGTTGAAGAACCCCTCATAGTGTAGTTATTGCCAATGACCGTAGTTGAACTTGGAATTCTTGTAAACAATTCTCTCAGCGAGGGAAATGTCATGTTATTAGAACATGTACTTGTGATGCTCAGCTCCTAATGTTCCATAGATCCTTTCCAAGAGCAGAACCCCAGTATTCATAGTGAGACACGGAGACTCTTCCAAGATGGTAGGGCTTATCTCAAGTCCGAAATCAATCATTGGCAGCAAAATAAAATCTGTAAAAATACCACTTTCCTGCTTTTCAGTGATGGATTGACTGTTTCATTTGAGAATTTAATCAGTCACCTTCTTGGCTATAGCCAGGTCACACTGAAGATCTTCAAAAAGTGATGAATATCACCAAGTTCTGCTGTATTTCTGCATAGAATCTGCCACATTCTGCTAATTTTAGCTGCAGATTTTGAAATGAAGGAGAATGGGTGACAATGCCTAATTGCAAAGTGCCAAAATAATTCAGTCAACAATAGGTCAATTGACTAGGAAAATAATTGGTCAGACCCAGTAGGGAAATCCTCCATTGTGCAACTTGGACTGCTGCGGGGAGCTCTGGCTGGCTATATGTGTCCTATTTTGCCCAACATCCAGATAAGGAGTGACAAGTTCTGCCATGAAGAGATTATCTTTGCTATTTCAGAAAGTCTAGATATCTAACTTCAGCTCAAAAAACATCCCTGAGGGGCCGGGGATTTAGCTCAGTGGTTTCGCCACCTGCTGCACAAGCGCAATGACCCGAGTTCGATCCCCAGTACCAAAAAAAAAAAAAAAATCCCTGAGCAGCTGCTCATGGGTGAGGTACTAGGATACTGTTATGATGTAGATGTCCCCCCAAAGCCTCTTGTGGTCACAGATGGGACTTTTAGGAGGTAACTGGATCTAGAGTGTGTGATGCTAGGACTAAGTATGTGATGCTGAGATTGATTTATGATGTGATGCTAGGATTAAGGGTGTCCATGCTATGTGTGAGTTCCCTAAGAGTGGGTAGACTAATAGAATATAAGGGACAGAAAGAGGGCTGCTTTGCTACTATGCTCCTTTGCTGCCTTCTGCCTGCCATGAACTGTTTCTCTTCTATGACGTCCCTTTGCCATGCCTTAGTGCCAGCCAACTATGAATTGAAATCTCTACAAACTGTGAGCCAAAATAAATCTTCCCTCCTTTAATTGTGGGTGTTGGATATTTTGTCTGAGCAACAAGAAAAGTAACTAAGATAGATACCGAGAGGATTTGCATAAATTTCCAAGGGCAAGGGAAAGATACTCCAGAAGTTAAGTTCAACACCTTCCCTAAATGTAGGGGAAATGATTCATCCAAGTTACCAAAAAAGCAAGGGTTTGGATGTGGAACATGGTTCTGCAAATTCCTTGGGATACAGAATTCTGAAAACACATACATAGGAGGATGTACTCTAGGTGGTTCATGTCCTCTTTGCTTTGGGGACTTGGATGCATCCAACAGAATCCTAAAATTATTTTCTTGACTTTATTTTTTGAAAATATCTACAGGGCTCAAGAGGTATAATATGTAATATTTCTTCACACTGGCAATAATGACAAAATGAGTCACATTTAGGGTATGGAGTTCCTGTGAATGTCATTTCAAATATTACTCAGCCTACACATTGTCCAAAATATGTATTTTTATAGAATCGTTTTGACAGGAAAAGTTTTTCATGAAAAATATTTCTGTTCATGTGGCACTGGGTGTCTTTGTTCTTGATCCGAAGAACAGTTTGGTTGGTAGGTATGTGGGCACTTTGAGCAATCACATTGCTGCAGTGGTTATTCTCTGGGCTGCAGGTGGAATCACCTGGAGGCTGGCAAAGAATTCCTGCACTTGACCTTCCCCAGACCAATTTAATAAGAATCTCAGGGAATGAGACCCTGACCTGCTTGGTTTAAAAAACCTTCACAGGTGATTCTGAGAGTAATTCTAACTCAGGCTCAGCCAGGCGCAGGATTGACACGTGCTGTTTTCAAGCCCATTGAAAGTAGGCTGCTCAAAGTTAAATTCATTTATTGTAGACAACTCTGAATACATCCTTGGGAATGAACCAAAGCTAGCTGGGAGAAAGCCTCAGGACCCACTGGCCTCTGAGTGCTGCATTTGAGTCAAAGGCCAACTACAACTACGAAGAAGCTTCACTCCCAGCTGGCCCCTTGCCTGCCAGTCTCCACCCACCCCCATTTGTTCCCAGGGAACTCAGCATTGCACTAATAGACCAAGCTAAAAATAATGAGGCAAATAAATCTGCTGCAAAAACTAATTAATTGAAAAGAGAAGACCAAATGAAGTTGATCTCTCCAGAATATGTGAAGAGTCTGATCCTACTCTTCCTACTCAGGACTGTACTTCCAACCCTAGATATAAGAACCCTTTTTATCTTTCCTTTGCCCCCAAAGATATGAGCACACTGGGAGGTAGAGATAGGGAGGCCAAACAGGTGCCCTGTAGGGCTCAGCCACTCTTCTCCCAAGACAACCTTGGCAACTTTCCAAGAGGCTAGGGCACCCACTGCAAACTCCTGGGAGCATCTAAACCCTGAACCCTAGGGTAATGCTCTGAGGTATGTTCCTGTCATGAGCCTCTCTAGTGGTGTATTGTGGGCCACAGATGCTGGAGCTACACCTGGCCAGGCTCCCAGGTGACTGAGTGTTTGAAGAGGGAGCTGAAGCAGCTTCCACCCACCTGGGAAGCCACTGGCCATCCCTCAATGTCAGAGGACCTATGGAAAACCTGAACTCAAAGAGTATATGGCAAGTGGGGCCTGAGGGGGTTAAACTCCCCTTGATGGAGATCTCAGATGGCCGGATGTCATTGAGTTTTGTACTTTCTCCACTGCCTGGTAGCACAGTTCTGCCTCCCAGCTGCGGGGTCTGCTGGCCTGGCATTCATCTCTGTGGCCGCATGTTCTTGGGCCTTTTCCGGGGGCTCCCACAATCAGGGCAATTAGTCCCAATTGTGAGGTGGCTTTCCTGATTCAGATGCTCTCCCCCTAAAAGAGAGAAAAGAACGGCATGTATTTGCTAATTTTGTAGGCAAAGAGCAGCTGTCAGATGCTATGGAGGTTTATTATTTCATGCTTGCTAACTTTCATCGAATTTTCAGCTTTCATTGTCTGAGTTCTGAGACAGAAGCTGGAGGGGAGATACAGCTGTTATACCTAGGAGGCAGGAAATCCAGAATGCTGAAAAGTAGTTTTACAATGCTGCAGTTATAGTTAAGATGACTTGTCCCCTTAATATATAGGAAAGTATGAGTCACCACACTCCAAATCGACTCTGTTTTGAAAAATCACACCTAGCAGGTCTTGCCAAAAGTCAAAGACAAAGTTAAATTCTATTTTCACTTTCCAATGAACTCTGAAAGTCTGTAATGTTAACTGTGTACCAATGAATGTCCATTTGCAGTTTTTAGTAACTGTGAGAAGGAGAAAAATACTCCAGGGCCTTCACATGTCTTGGACATGTTTCCCACATTCAAGTTTCTGTTTTCTAGTTAAATCTCTGAGCTGTTTCTTTGGCTCCCAGCTTTTTGAGGGAGAGAGTTCACCTTGTCCCAGGGTTTCCCCTGGAGAGTGGCTGGTTTGTGCTGATTGGGAAATGATTCTGCTTCATGGTAACTAAGCACTGAACTATTCTCAGGATCCAGCCTATACTTCTGACCGGGTGTGTTCTTCTTGTGATTACTTTGTCATTGTCTTCCTCTGACGCCACTTTCCTCTGGTTACAAAGCAGACATGTGCTAAATTAGAGTGATGCAAGTTACCCAGCCACATTTCCACTGACAGTGGGAGAAAGAGGCAAGAGACTCTGCCAGAGGTAGGGCCGAGAAAGGCCCTGCCCCACTCCACCGGAGGCCAGTCCCATCAGACCCCACCCACCTCTGCCAGCAACTTGGTGGCCCGCAAGACTGCATTTTTAGTTTAACCCACACCATTTAGAGTCCTCATCTGGGATGCAGGGCAGAGAGGACTATGCTGAAGGTCTAACCATGCTCTAGGGATCATTAATAGGAATTGCAAACCAGTCCAAAACATCACTAAGGTAAGGACAAGTAGGCTGTACCTGTGTGAACTGAACTCTGCCCCCAGGCCCATTTGAGGAATGAAATGTTCTCTGGCCAGGAGGGTGAAGTCATTGTCCACATACCGCTCAGAGGATTATTTCACTTACATCTGCTCCTTTTCCCCTGGGTTTACAGGGGACGAGTGGCCATGCCTACCATGGATAGCACTCATGTTCCCTTCTGGCCCTTTCCCTCTCTTGTCTTTATTTTCAACATTTTCTTATCCCCACATCCCTTCCCTTCTTTAGCTGGTGCCAGCTGTGTCCTACCACTGCTGCTCCTGGGGCCTCTCCTCATGCCCGTGTAGGGTGGCTTCTTGGCATGAGACACTTCGGAGGCCTTTTCTCTCCCAGTGAGACTCCTTTGCCACCATCCCCTCAGGACATGTTTCCGATACCCTGCTGTGGACTTTCATGCCTACTTTGTCTAGTGGAAGGAAGGAAACTTTTTGCCTCACAGAACACTGCTGATTAAAAAGAAAAAAGAAAAAACAAGATAGAAGTCAGGTGACCAAAGCTGGGGTGAGGGCATGCTTCTCTACACTATGAGCACCTGATCCTGCTAGGGCCCTGTCTCGGTCCACAGTGGCCCGCACACTGTGAGCCACAGAGTTAGGTTAAAATGTCGGCAGGGGTGGCACTGAGGAGGGTTGGCAGGGGCTTTGAAGTCCTCTGAAGAAGACTCTCCTGAGACGTGGCAATTGATGGGGTACACCCCTCCTCAAACTCTTGGGAAACTGCTGGGCAAAAGAACAGCCAGTGCCTTTTGTATCATTCCACAGGGAAAATCAGGGACCCTGGGCAAAGTCATGGGGATTTAAATTTGGGCTCCACACGATGAAGAACTTTATAAAAATGAAGGCAATGTGGGGAGGAATGGGCTGCCTTATAAAGAAAGGGAGCTGGAAGCCAGTACATCTTACAGGAGTAGACTTGGCGACCCTCCTGTGGGAACTCACCGTGCACAGAGCCATGGAAACAAGAAACCTTACCTGGGCTGGCTGGTTTCTGTTCTTTAAAGCTGCATTGGGCTGAGGATGTGAGAGTCTCCAAGGTTCTCTCCCTGGGGACCTGAGAAACAGGAGGAGGAGAAAAGAGCCTCTTACTGGTTCTCTATGGTTTGCTTATGCCTCCTAATTTCCATTTTTTTTCTTTGTATATGTTGTTGTCAGCTCTGAAATCTCTCTTCCAGACTATTTTTTCCCTGTAACTTCATAAACCATCTCTGTAAACATTTTGCTTAAGGTGTGTGTGGGGGGCGCGTTATGGAAACATAGTGACAGCCTCCCAGAGATGCTCTACAAATGTGTGGCTGGGCCCACCTGGTGCGGATCATTTTCATTGTGGCAAAGGAGCATCTGGAGGCGACAAATGCCAGAGAGAAGGTCTCCTGGTGGTTAGAAGCCATGAGGAACTGATGACTCATGCCCGAGGGAGCCTTTGTTGTATTTTACTTCAGTGTAGATCCATGTCCGGAGGTCCTCTGAACTCAAGAAATATGTAGTAATTATTAAATACTGTTAGCTTAGAAAGCAGTCTGAAAGCTCATCCAGGAGCCAAATTCCCAGCTACTTCCAGTGTTAATGGCCCTGGGTCTTTGGGTTTTCTCTAGTCCTAGGGAAATGGGAACTGGGCCAACAAACACCTTGGTTTGTACCTGCAAGAGTCATTTTCCTATTCCCACTACTAGCCTGAGGTTCTCACCACACTAGTTACCCCCATTAGCCTCTCCTCTTCTGATTTTCTCTTTGGTAGCCCTGCCTGGCTCACTGGATTCCCTCCAAAGTCACAGGGCTTATGGGATCCTCACTGTGGACACAGTGTGGCACACCCTTTAAGGGTGTCCAAATGGAAGTGGAGTTAGTGCTCAGAGACAAAAGGATGCCGCCATGATAAAATTCCCAGAATCCCATTGGCAAGGACGGAAGCCAGAACTCACTAATAGGGAAGTTGCAGGTATTGAGGAAGACACTCTTTGCTGGAGAGTGAGGGTTGTCTTTAAAACTGAGATAAATGTCCAGCCATTGCATTACTGTGGTTATTTTTGATACACCACAGAGTCAATGACTAGCCTATAGTGAGCAATGAGGTTTTATCCTGACAAGTCTCAGAGCTCCACAGCATCTGTCACTGACATATGACAGTTGCTAATCCCAGTACCTAAGATGAGAGGATGTGAAGAGTACCAGGCTAAAGCTGACATTTGCATTTTTTACTCTGCACTCACCAAAACTTGTTTTAGTTTTAGGGATATTGGGCAATTCTTCCCCAAAATCTCTGCAATTGGTGACTATCCTGTTCCTGGTCATCAGTTTGATCACTTCGCTGCTGAGTTCTGTGTTTACCTTCTACAACAGCATCAGCAACCCCTACCAGACATTCCTGGGCCCAACTGGTGTGTACACCTGGAATGCAATCACCGGTGAGTATCCCTGACTACATGCTCTGCAGAGAACCACCATCTCTCTGCCTCTCACTTTTTGTCTCCATCTTTCTGCCTCTCACTCATACACATGAGCACATACAGTCATGTCACACCATGGAAATAATGAGGACCTGCCATGTGCTAGGTCTTGTATTGGGGACTAAAGTTTACTTCTGTCAGCCTATAGCACGGATTAAGTATGTCTGGAAACAATTGTTTTAAGTGCACTAGTGAGAGGCAAGAAGTGCAGTGATGAGGGGTGTTAAAATAGATAAGTCAGTCTTTGCTTTTGAGAACCTAATGTAAGGAGTCAAATAAAACATGTGAATCAACAAAACACTCACTGGACTCCTGCTATGTGCTTACCCCAAAACTAGGCTCCATATGATGTACAGAACCACATACATGCTCACACACATACATATTCACTCTCTTTTCTGCCTTCATAAAACGGAAACAGACTTGGGCTCCAGAGATATATGGTTTATGATAGAACTACAAATAATGTCACTTAGGAGACTTTGAGCCAACACCCTTCTTGTGGACTATGTGGTGCCCAGGGTGCTGTTGTGTGGTGTTGCTAAGTGGTTTTGTTTCATGAGTGGGTGTTGGAGTAGAGAATAGAACCTGGGTGGGAAGTAGATCCCAGCTCCAATCACAACAGCTTGGACTCTAACTGGGTTTTGCCAGGACTCTGCAGCTACCACATTTGCCCAAAAGCTGGGTCAGGGCCAGTAAAGAGTCCCTTTGCTCCATTCCCCCTGCCTTCCATGCCTTCCCCCTGCCAGGCGGCCATGTTTCTCCACTCTGTCCTTCATCACAACTTGATCTAGGGAACAAAGCCCTGACTGACTAAGGGGATGGCTCCAGAGTGGGCTTCATGTAAGTTCCCATGATGCATTTTAACACAGGGAAGATGCTCTGGATGCTGAGGTGTCTGAAAGTCTTGAAGGGGCACTGTAGGCAGCTTCCTCTTGTGCCTGTGTGAAAGGTCATTCTTACCACTCACCTGGGGAGTAAAGAAACTTGGCTGCCTTGCAGGGACAAGGCTTTGAAGGCAGGTGGGATGGGGAAAGGGACTCTCTAGTGGCCCTGACCTAGCCTCTGGACAGTTGTGTGGCTGCAGAGCCCTGGCAAAACCCAGTGAGAGTGCCATGACTCCATGCCTTGGCTATAGCAGTAAGGGATAGGTAGAGAGAGAGGGAAAAATGGGAGAGGGGCTGGCTATAGCACTGGTTTGTTTGCATGGTCTAAGCATACCATACCCCCTTCTAAAGAACAATAGTGTCACTGAATATAGAGTTGGGACGTATAAACCAGGCCCAGCACAGCCCTCTCACAGAGTAGGTAGCAGGAAGAGGGATGCTTTTTTAAGTGTCTGAGGGGTTCCCAATCATTAAATCAGAAGTACAGCAAACAGCCATACTTTCCAAGGCAAACCTGAACTTTCAGTCACATTACATCATCACTCCAAGGATTTGGGTAGGAGTCAGGCTGGCTTAATCACATTCATATAGGACTGGCTTTATCATTTTGTGCTTCTGTTTCCTGGAGGTAAAAACAAATCCACCAATTTCACTTCACCCTTTCCAAGAAAGTTACAGAGTCCTGTAGAATGAGCACTACTCTCTCCTGTCATTTTACAATGGGGTTGAGTGCCAAGGTCAAGGAGCTAGGTTACAGGCCAAATACACTCAGCCAAATACCATGGTTCCTTGGCTCAGGCTACTGCCATGACTATGCTTCACCTCAGGCATCCAAATCAAAGACAAACCTATTGGCACTCATTGCCAGGGTAAGAAGGAGAATATGTTTAGTTTTGCTCATGTAACTGAGAATCTAAAAGAAGATTCTTCAGGCATGGCTGGACTCAGGGTCTTGGACCAGGTCTTCAGAACTCTGTTTGCCCTCATCTTTCTATCTCTTGATTTCCCCAGCATTTGCTCCACTATTATGCAGCTGGCTCCATTCCCTTAAAGATTCTAAGCTCTAAGGAGCTCCAGGAGGAAAGTCCTGTTGTTTCCCAGCAACTAAGAGAGAATCCTTAGATAGATAGAATTGCCCTCTTCTATGCTTTGACCAGTCTCATTAGCCAGAAGAGTTGATTGAACTCTCAGTCCAGGAGCTATCTGAGGACACCTGCCCACCGGCAGCTCGGGCTGCTCAGTCCTTCCTCAGGCTGAGGGAAAATAAGAGCCAGTGCCAGGGTGGAGGCCTGTTGTGGGCTGACAATTCTACATCTGCAGCCTGCAGGGCTCAGCGCCTGTTTCCCTCAAGCTCCACGTCTCTTTTCTTCCACAGCTGAGTACAGGCTGACTTTGCACAGGTCAGAGGTCACAGGCAGTTCATGAAGGAAAACGTGAACAGAGAGGTTGGGTATCCTTCTCCCCATCCCTGCCTACTTCTATTCTCAAAGAATTGTGTGGCAGGGAGAGAATACCCCCCTCCAACACACATACATTCTCTCAGGGGCAAGTTCTAAGAGACTGGCTGGGGCTGGATGCATCTGAGATTTCTGTGTAAGAAGATTTGCATTCTTAGAGGAGCTTGGACAGAGGCTTTGGGCAGCCATGGCATTTTCTAAATCCCCTATGTGGCCCTTTGGGTGCCAGTGCTTTGCAAGCCAGGCTTTGCTCTCAGTTTGCCCTCTGGGAACTCCTGATTTTCTTCACCAAATTTGAGTATTGCAGAATTTAGTGAAAATTGAGTTTGCAGTAAGCTGAGCCTGCAGAATGTCTTATATGCAGAAATGCCACTGCAGCATCCTGGCCTTGGGTCACAGTGACAGGAAAGCTTGGGTCAGGCTGACTTCCAGGAGGAACCAGAAGGCACTGCAAACTCCTGCAGACTAGGTTTACTCATATTCTCCTGAGCTGGCAAGGGTGTGTGGGGTCCAAAATGGTAGAAGAAGAAGTGGTTTCTTGGCTTATTTGTGACAGAGAAAAGCAACAGTGCCACCTTCCAGGTATAAGGGACTTGGATCCTTCCCCACCTCTGCACTTTACTGGTCCTGTGTGGCTGGCCATGGCTGCAGGGCATGTCACTGTAGACCCAATGAAGGTTGCAGTCAAGAGAATTTCACAGACTGTCTGCTCTAAATACTTCAGCCCCAGCACCCAGGAAACAATGAAGCAGGTCATGTGGTCCAGCAGTGACTGGCCAGGGCATAAGCCAGTGTCCTGAGACTTCAGGAACTCTTCATCTACCCCAGAGCCTCCTGCAGGCCCTCAAAAGCCCTTCTGTCCCACAGATCTGGAGCAGCTGGACAATTGGAAGCAGTGTGGAGCTTAAGGCTCCTGGCATGCAGTCCCTACAGGGATCTCAGGTCAGCATTGTAAGTGGGTACTGGCCCCTCCCAATGCAAATCAAAGCTCTATGCAGCCCACTTTTGGAAAACACATTTAACCCTATGTTCATCCTGCCCCTTGATGATTAAGCTTTTATAAGAAATTTCACAAGGGGAAAATGAAAGATAATTAAGACATGTGTGGTGCTTGGAGAGCATCAGAGGAGCAGGGCTTTTATTCATGCAAATTATTAAGAAATAAAACCATTATTTTGAGGATGAAGTCTGACATCAAGGACTGTTAAAATGTTCTTTTCATATAAAATCCCTCTAATTAGGGCCTCTTGGAGGACCGTTCAGAGAATTTCCCTGCATGTGGGTACAGCCAAGGCACATTTGACGCCAGAATGTCCATTGAGCTCAGCACATCCTGTGTCAGTAGATGAAGAACTCTGAAAGACGTCTGTCTGTCCTGGGGATTCCTCTGATGCCACCTATGCTTTGTCTGACTCTGCCTGGGCCCCGGGGCTCATCTGACTTATCGCGAGGCCTGAGCAGCTTCCTTTTCATCCTCTCCTCCAACCCTTTTTAATAACAACTTTATTGAGATATGAGTCACCTGCTGTAGTTCACCCATTGAAAGGACAACATTCAGTGGTTTTTAGCATCTTCTCAAACATGTGCAAACATCACCGCAGTCAATTTTAGAATATTTTCACCAACTCAAAAAGAAAGCCTATACTATCACCCGCCTCCCAGCCCACCTTCTTCCCTAAGCAACCATGAGTCTGCATTTTTTGTAGTTCCTTCCCCATACCCCACAGAGTCATTCAGAATGAGAGACAAACTCTAAGCCAGGATTCTCTGCTTTGCAGTGGTCCTATCTCCACATCCAGTGCTTAGGACCCTGAGGACCTCTCTCCATCGACTGGGCTCCTCTCTCTCGGTCCAAGATGCTTCCAGCTCACTGTCTACCTATGTCCTTATGGAGGCTGCTGCATCTGTCTATATGCTGCTGCTCTTCCTCTGCCTTTCTGGGTCTTGTTCAGCCATCCAAGCCTATCTGTTCATCCATTTGCTCCTTCATTCAGCACAACACCTACATGCATTGCCCTAGCAATGGGAATATTTGATAAACCACTTGAACACCAACTACTTCAGAAAGAGTTTGAGCTTGGAGGTTTGTTCCTGGTCAGACACTGGCATGCACATTGTTTCATGCCTCCAATCTGCTTTGCGTCTTACCTTGTTTTTACATTATTTCAAATGCTTGAAAGAGTATAAACCCCAGTGTAGGTAGGCAATATGTGTCCACAGAGTACAGGTTCCAAGAAGAAAATAAGTGATATTAAAAACATAACACTGTGTCATTTATGAAATTTAATTTTCTTTTCAGCATTTTCCATTTTCCTGACAATGGTACTATTTGTGGGGAACACACAGTCTAATTATCTCTCTGAAGAAATTGTCCAGAGGCTTTATCCAACAATCACCATCAGAGGAACAACCCACAGTTATGGATACTCATTTTGGCTCATACTGCTTGTCATTCTTCTAAACATAGTCACCGTGATCATCATCTTTTTCTACCAGAAGGCCAGATACCAGCAGAAGCAGGAGGAGAGAAAGCCAATGGAATATGCTCCCAGGGATGGAATTTTATTCTGAATTTCATGTTATGTCATTGTGGCATTGTGTCTGTTCCATTTCACATCAGGTCCCTGAGCAATAACTGATTAGCCTCTATGACCATCAGTGTGGTACTTTTCATACTCCATGACGCTATGCTCTTCATAGATACTGTCTCCTCGGTGTGTCCCCACAAGAGTGGGGGAGATGAATGGAAAAGAAATGTTGCCTGTCTAGGTAGTGTTCAAAGTAGTAGAAGATTATGAGCCTGGGGACCCCCTCCAACTTGGTCTCATCTGAAATAATAAAGGTTTGTGATCACATCTTTCCTTTGATGAGCTCAAAGCACTTTAGCACCTATGATCTTATTATCCTTAGGAAGAAGCAGATACTTTTATTCTATAATGAAGACTCCTAGGTACAGAGAGATTCAAAACTTGTCTTTCCAGGACCAGAGGTTGGAGGCAAAAGGAGAGACTCGGGAAAAAATGACCTGTTTTTTTCTGGAGCCTCAGTTGCTGTCTTATAACTTAAACCCAATGGTGAGCAGTAGACTGGTACATAGCCCTCAAACTTATTTTTGAGGTTCTATAGTGTAGTTTTTGGTGGGAAGACATTAGATTTGAGAAGATTGGGAAAAATAGAAATTATAGCTCTATCATCTCTTAGATAAGGAGGATATAAGCATTGTTTTCAGTTTCACAGGATTGTGGCAAAATAAGTCAAAACAGAAATGAAACATTTTAACAAGTTCTACCAACCACTCCATCAGCCAGCCCTTGGCTTAGCTACTGCTGAGCAGATGTAGGTGTAATTGGTCAGATGGGAGCACATGGCCCATCAGCAGACACCTGCTCAGCCAGAGAATGATGAAGACGTGGGTCAAGGCGGCACAGCTTAGCAGGCATGTGTTCTCTGAGTGGAGATCAGGCTACAAGTAAGTCTTGGACACTGGGAAGCAACCCAAGAACAGAAACAATGAAACTGGTTCCATTTCCTGAGAAGATAGTTGGGCAATCAGGAAAACAGAAAAGGCACCAAAATGGATTCCATCTATTTTTCCAGTAGGATATTTTTCCAGAAAATTACTATGAAAATATTTTGAGCTTTACTACTCTACAAGTTGGCCAGGTTGAGCATTGAAAAGGTTGTGAAGTTGTTACTTCTCCTGTCTTGGTGGAACCAGAGCTAAAAGGAGCAGAATTTCTTGTTACAAATTGTAAAGGAACAGTCTTTAGGGAGAGGACATATTGTTTATGAAGATGTCAAGGTTGAATGGTCTTCTTCCTTACTATTTTTAAGGATCTAATTTAGAATTCAGCACGGGCACCTGTGGCACAGCCAGCACTGTGCTAATCTGAGTATTTGTTCTCATGGAGTTTACTATTGAGTGGTCAAGACAGGTACCATAAGCCATCACTCAATTCCATTTAAAACCAATTCTTAGTTATAAAATCATGCTCATTTTTTGGAAGGTCACCTTGTTCTGTCATCCCCTCCTCCTCACTCACAGTCCTACTAATTACTTTATTCTAAAACTTGGAACATATTTTGGAAGTCAGATCAGCAGTGAAAAATTTCTAAATTCTTCAAATCCAGAAACATTTGTGTTCTTTAAAGCTTGAACTGTATATCAGATTCTGGGTAACGAAGAGAAAACGGATGCAAGTGACAAACCCCTGCCAAAGATTGCTAGACAGGCACTCACCTGTGTCAGTGTCAGTGGTAAAAAGAGCGCTGCACTTACTCACTGCAGCATCTGAGCAGAGCTTAGTTTTCTGAGGGAAAAAATTTTCTTAATCTTTATACCACAGGTGGCCTTTAAGGAGCCGTTTAATACACTTGGAATCAGGTCAACGGAATTCTGTTTCACAATCCCGGAGATGAAGAGAATGGCTCCCTTACTCTATTTTAAATAGAAGGTAATGAAATTGCATGTGTATGCTCAGTAAGAATCTTGTAGAGGAAGCGCTGGACCTGTGTACTGCTTGTAAGCACAGGCAATGTTGAAGGAAGGATACAACACAAGATGGGTCTTTTAGTGAACACCCATGCCACAGTTGGGGGGACTCATTGCTTTTAGAAGAAAAAAATGCTCTTGAATAGTAATTTTCTATCTTAAAACTACTTAATAAATGTGAATTTGCTTACATTTCTGGAATGCATACACTTGAAACACTATTTTGAAGGGATTTGAACTATCTCCTAGAATCAGTGTTCCAGGAGTCAGGATATGGCCCCTAATGAACATACCTGGTCTGTGGTGAGATTGGTTACAAGATTCATTCATGTTTGCAAAATTGTATAAAATATCATGTTCATCAATTCTACAAATACATGTAGTCTTCAGAGAAATCAACCCTTTATACCAACATCAAAAGATTGCTGTGATGTTGGTGAAGCACTCTGGGAGGCTGGAGGCAAATTCCAGATGTGCTTTGCCATTGTCGTTAGATTTTCATTTGATCATCTCAGCCAACTAGGGGTTAGATGAACCACTGTCTCCTGGGATATGGTGCTTCCTGGGGTCTAAAGCAGGATGCTGCAGCCAGCCTCTCATGGCTGCACACTCTCTGCACCCTCAGACATTACAGTAGAGTTGCAGGTACATGTCAGCCCCCTCCCACCTTCTGAGGTCAGTCAGCCTCTTAGGGGCTGGGACCCCTGCAGATCTACAAAGGGTAGGCAGATGTCAAGCAGAATTCAGAGTGGGTGCTCCTGCTACTTGCCCAGGAGTCCTCGGCAGCCCTTCTCTTAGGCTAGAACAAGGGGTTTAGTGTGCACTGCCAAGACAGGGACTCAGGCATGGTGGTGGGGGACAGGGCTGGCTCAAACTCAGGAGCCTTCCTGACCCTGAAATCCAAGCTTGGAGAGAAGCTGTGACCCATTGGTCTGTGATCTAGTACCCAGAACCCCAGAGGCCTTGGACAGACAAGGTCATTAGCCAATGTTGTGGAAAGCAGACCCTCACGACAACTGAAGTGTGGTGGCCCTCTGGGGTGAGTCCTCATTCCTGACCTCCACCATCGAGCATGTGAGCACTCAGATGGGGGCTCCATTTTACACTGCTCTGGAATCTCCTAACCAACTGTCAGAAACCAAAGCCATCAGTCACTGTTCCAGTTTGAGCTTCTTTAGGACTGTAAAATGAGTAATAGCTAACAGAAAGGACAATCTATGGGATTAAGCAGGGAAGTCCTGGTGTCAGGCCACCTGGGTCTGCTATGGATTCAGAGAATCCTCCCTTGAATGTCTGTGAGCTGAGAGGATAATAGCAGGGTTAACTCCCGAGCTGTGGACAATGAATCCACGTGCTCAAGCCCTGGATAGCTAACAGCTGCCTTCCTCTTGCTTGATTCAGATGAGAATTGTGAAGTGGCAAAGGGAAGCTCTGATAGGAGTCCTGATCTCACTGGGTAATGCTGAGTGTCAACACTCAACACAACCAGTTTTTGGTCACTGCTGCTGCAGGCTGTTACCACCTGATGCCAACTTGTGCTGGGCACTGTAGGTCAACTCTACTGGGTGCTGGTCTCTGCTGCTGGTTCTCTTTAGCTGATGGTCTCTGGAGCTCTTCAGTGTTAACAGCTCTGAGTGTTTATTTGTCTTTCTTTAGAAACAACTGCTGTTGTCTACGTTACTCAGGACTTTTTAAAAAAAATCCCAAATAGATTTACTGGACTATTGGAGCCCACACTATCCAAGAAATAAACCACAAGCAGGTTCACAGGAACAACAAATGAAGTCTTTATTTTAGCAGGGCTTGGGCTGCTGCACAGGAGTCACTACCCAGGAAGCCTCCCAGACTAAAACCGAAGAAGTGGCTGGGGATTGCTAGGACCTGTTTCAGTGAGGGGCAGGGCGGAAAGCTTGCTATGAATGTTGGGTATGCAAATTAAGAGGCACAATCTCTATCCCTCTCTTCCTCATCTTAGCCACTCCAGGGTGATTCCTTTTTCCAAAAGGGCAACAGTATTGTCTGAAGTGGCAGGAGAGGGGAGGGGCACCACACCACTGGGCTGAACTTATGTCGGAGTGGAGAACGGCAGTTTGAGAGCCAGGGAGGACACTGTTTGAAAGCCAGTGGTCACTGAAGCAAACTGTCCCGGTCCATTGGGGTGAAGGAGAGCAAAGGGAAGTGAGGGGAGTGGACAGGACCAAGCCACATCTCCCCTCCACCTGGTTCAGGGAAAATGAGTCAGATGCTTTATGTACATTTTACTAAAAGTCTGTAGCACATGAAGGAAATGGTGAAGGTGAGACTCACGCCATCACCCTCAGACTGAAGGCCTCATTAATGCTTTTGTTCTAGAGATAAACAAGCAGTAAGCAGAAGTACTTAAGCCCAGAGGGCAAAATACCTAGGCTTGCCCAGCACCCAAGATTGGCAAGTGGTAAAGGAGAACTACAGATACATCCATAGGCCCTTTCCACCTCTATGTGACCCAATTCTACCCACATAGAATAGTAGTTACCCAGGCCAGAGCATACCCTCCTACCGATAATGGGCAAAGGATCACCTCTCTATCAATCTTTGAAGGGTCTTTGTTCTATTCTGAGACCTGTTTCTCTCACTTTCAAACAATAGCCACAGTTGAAGAAGTAGAATCAGTTCTTGGCAAAATCTCCAACTCAGGCACAGAACTCCCCACGGTGTCTGAAATAACCTTTGGCCTCGAGCATACTCATTATCTACTCATACATCTCACAGATACAATCCTAACAAAGTGAATTATAGGTAAGGATATGCATGCTTAACACAGAAAGCACGATAAGCATGATTCAGCATGAGCTGTCAAACACGCACAGGATAGTACTCTGGGAGGGACATTGACTCTTGAACAGAAGTAACAGGCTCCCTTCCCCTATCCTGGGGGCAGCGGTGAGACTTTTACCAGCTGACTCTGAGTAGCATACTTCTTTTCTGCCTTTAATAAATGGACATTTTCAATGTCTCTTCTGTGTGTCTTGTCTAATTCTCTGTTCGGGACACCAAGAACCTGGAAAGCAGCCTCATGGGACCCTCTGTCCAGTAGAAAACACTTGTTTGCATCAGGACCACAGTAAGTGCTGAGGGTAGAGCCAGAGGCAGAAGGGTAGAAGGTTCCTGCTCAGAAAGTTCTCACTCTAACAGGAAGTGTGGCATTCTTGGTAGGCCCTGTAGGACTTAACACCCATCCTACTCTCTTCGTGGCTCTGATTCATTCAGAAAAAACCACATCTGATTAGTTTCAAGTAAGCCAGAGGATTTGGGTATTAACCTGAGACAGAGAAGTCGCTTCCTCCCCGTGGGGGTGGGAGGATCCCACACACTCAGAAAAAG